TCAGAAAATAATGAAATGTGTCCGAAATGAGCAAATTGACATTTGAAATTAGAGAACAAGAAGATAAACCATTTTATAAAATATGGGATTTATTTTACCAATGGTTAGACAAAAAAAATATGGAAATGAAATGTGATAAGAGAATCTTTACAATACAAGGATAATGGAATTGACACAGAATATAACCTAAAGATGTACTATTATTGGATGGATTTAGGAGGATGTAATGAATTGTTATAAATATAAATTAATTCAAAATTTAGAATATCTCGTATAAAATGAAGGAATAATAGTTATAGTCAAATAAATGATGAACAATGATAATAATGTATACATATATATATTAGATTAATAATATGAGATGTTATATAAATTGTAAGTGAGGACTATGGAGAGGACGCACAAAGATTTCGTAACCAACTGACACGCTGGATGCAACTGGAAGATGTTTTTATGTTTTGTTTGTGTATGTTTGTTTTAAAAATAAAAGTTCTTTTAAAAAGAAAGAAAATCATAGGGTTTTTTCCCCCCACCCTCCCTTCCTTCCATAGGTCACCCTGGAGCAACAAATACGACCCACCCTTGGAAGATGGCGCCATGCCTTCGGCTCGCCTGCGGAAGCTCGAGGTGGAGGCCAACAACGCCTTTGACCAGTATAGAGACTTGTACGTTGACTCCCTTCTTTGGTGGGGCTTGGTGGGGTGGCTGGTTAAAGGGAGAGGGGCACAGCAGGAGGGACCTCCCCTGTTCATTCTCTGAAACTTTTAGGGAGCGAGTTCCCCCCCCCCCAAACAAAGAGGGCCTCCCCTTCCTGCTTATTTTCTTGGATGGATGGAAGGCTATTTCCTATTCATCAAGGTTTTAATCCCTCCCCCACTTTGGCAAGCCCACTTTTGAGGGAGGGGCTTTCTTTAAAAGTGAGTTACAGCAGGGGTCACCAACCTTTCGGACCTCAGGGACCTACTAAATTCATAATTTCTAAATCCCACGGACCCACTAATATGAATTATTTTAAAAAGATAAATAGTATTTAGTGCAATATAAAAAAATGCAAACACTTTCTTGCTTGGTGACCGCTGAGTTAGAGGGAAGATTGATGCGGGGGTGGGGGGGCTTGAAGCTCTTTGCTTCCTTGTCTGGGGGGGGGGGGGATGAATGGAGGATTGTTCCTGTATCAGGTGGGGACACCCCCCCCCCTCTTTTAAAGCACGGGGTTATCCTCAACCTACGACTACAGTCGAGTCCTACAACTTACAATTGAGCGAGATACTTGTTCAGTGAGCTTTCCGCCCATTTTAAGACCTCTCGTGCCACGGTTGTTAAGTGAATCACTGCAGTTGTTAAATCTTAGCCACAGAGTTGTTAAGTGAAATCTGGCTTCTCCGTTGACTTTGCTTGTCAGAATGGAATTGCATGCCACTGCAAACTGTCGCCAGCAGCCAAGATTTTGCTCACGGGATTGTCCGCTATGGCCATAAGTGTGGAAAAATGGTCACAATTCACTTTTTTCCACTTGGTGTCGTAAGTTTGAATGATCACTAAACAAGTTGTTGTGAGGCCAGGAGTGCCTGTAGTGAATTGAGCTTCTCAGTGGAAGACGATGTATAGCTGGCTTGATGTTCTCCAGTTGTGGGGCTAAAGAGTTGTGTCACATTCCCTTAGTCTCTTTTCCCTAATCACACACACACACACACCAGCTGCATGGAACTACAACTCCCAGGAGCCCTTTGCTATTGTCTTTGGGTTTCTGACTGCGGGCCTTGGGGCCCTTGCTGCTAATTCCCTTGCTTTTCTCTGTCTTTGCCCCTTGAAGCTCTCCTGGTGTTTTAGGTAAAGATTCCCCTGGCACATAAACTATATTGCCAAAAGTATTCGCTCACCCATCCAAATAATCAGAATCAGTTCCAATCACTTCCATGGCCACAGAGGTATAAAATCAAGTCCCTAGGCATGCAGAGTGCAAAAACATTTTTTTAAAATTTACCTCTTCAAAATCTTGGTGCGTTTTATAGTCCGAAAAATACGGTAAATCTTACCAAACTGCAACCTTTCAGTTTCTTGCGGTACATGGTGAGCTTTTCACTTGACACCCATAACTTCCTTTTTGGATTGCCTGGAAGCTGTTCTTAATTGTCCGTAAGTGAAGAGGTGTTGCAGATGATCTGTTTTGAGGGCTCACATCCAGCCCAAATGCCAGATAAAAAATAGTGAGATCTGTACCAAGATACACTACATTGCCAAAAGTATTTGCTCACCCATCCAAATAATCAGAATCAGGTGTTCCACAGGTGTATAAAATCAAGTCCCTAGGCATGCAGACTGTTTTTACCAACATTGGTGAAAGAATGGGCTCAGGAGCTCAGTGAATTCCAGCGTGGAACTGTAATAGGATGCTACCTGTGCAACAAATCCAGTCGTGAAATTTCCTCGCTCCTAAATATCCCACAGTCAACTCTCAGCTGTATTATAAGAATGTGGAAGTGTTTTGGAATGCCAGCAACTCAGCCACGAAGTGATAGGCTACGTAAACTCGTCCAATATCAGTGTGTGACCTCACAAATGCGCTTTGGGGGGACAGGGGGGCTGTTTTCACCCTCCCCAGGCTCCTATAAAGCCTCGAGCTTGGGGAGGGCGAAAAAAGCATGCAAAAAAATGGGGGGGAGCGCTGATCATGCCCGCATGCCCGCTGGGGGTCGTGCAATGCATTATGGGTGTGGCATGCCCACATGCGATCCCCCTGCGCTCCCCTTTTGGCAGGTTCACCATCACTGTGCTAGTCGTTTCTGACTCTAGGGGGCAGTGCTCATCTCCGTTTCAAAGCCGAAGATCCAGCACTGTCTGAAGACGTCTCCATGGTCATGTGGCTGGCATGACTCAACGCCAAAGCCGCATGGAACGCTGTTACCTTCCCACCTTCCTATTTTTCTACTTGCATTTTTTCAAACTGCTAGGTTAGCAGAAGCTGGGACAAGTAACAGGAGCTCCCTCTGTTACGCGGCGCTAGGGATTTGAACCCCCGAACTGCCGACCTTTCCGATCGACAGGCTCAGCATCTTAGCCCACTGAGCCACCGCGTCCCTATTTTATTTTAGAAGATGATATAAAATACATTTTTTAAAAAAAATAGTCTCTTTAATGAGAGCCCCGTGGAGGACACTTTCTATTTAAATTATATTTATTTATAGGGAGTGACATTTCACCCCCTTCCCCAAATCTGCAGGAGCCAGCATCGTTGGGAATTTTAATCATCCTCGATCTGATCGGTTAAATTGTGAAAGTGGATTAGTTCATGGCAAAGCGCAGTCAATTTACCTTTCAAAAAAAAAAAAAAGATTGCGATGTATCAGTGAAGCGATACATGTGAACAGTTCATTTGCACAGTTATTTGGCTCCTGTCCCGGAACATGAGAGCCGACCGGCCATTGCCAAAAAGGGAACTGGAGCAGAAATAAAAACCTAAATTGCAGCATCGTTGGAAAGAACAAAACCGTCTTTCTGGAGGCAGCTGCATTAAATAGGAAAGAAGCCGCTGCCGTTCGCACAGCCCATACCCATGTTTTGATCATGGATTTGGCCCAGGCCCGGAGACTTCGGAACTTTTTGGTCCTGGTTTATTTGGCTGCCCTCTTTGTGTGGGGTATTAAGTAGGTTCTCATTTTCAGGCAGACTTCTTTTTAAAGATTGGTTTCCTACCAGAGGTGGTATTCAGCCAGTTCAGATTGGTTCGCCAGAACAGGTAGTGGAAATCGTGGGTAGTGGAAATCGTNGAGATTAGAACCGTTGAACTGCAGATAACAGTCAGCTGAAGTGGCTGCAGTACAGCACTCTAACCACTGCGCCACCTCGGCTCCATTATTCCTTCTCTGGCCTCCGAGTGCCTTGGAAAATAGCTTGACCCCCTCCTCTCTATGGCAGCCCCTCAAATACTGGAACACTGCTATCATGTCTCCCCTAGTCCTTCTTGTCATGAAACTAGACATACCCAGTTCCTATAACCGTTCTTCATATGTTTTAGTCTCCAGGCCCTTAATTATCTTTTTTGCTCTTCTCTGCACTCTTTCTAGAGTCTCAACATCTTCTTTATAGCGTGGTGTGATTATAGTGTGATTGACTAGTCCCTTCTTAGAATGAAGATCCCTAAGAAAATTCTAGAACTGTAAGATAGACTAGAAAGTTGAATAAACTTCCAAACTACTTCCATATTTTACCCAAGCAAATCACATGAATATATCCATGAATTCTTCAGTTGAGTTTGATTTAAAGGAGATGTTATCTCTACTGATGAAAAGCAGAGAATAGGGCCAATAGTACATTTTCAGTCCATTTCTCAGCTTTTATTCTAAACTTTTAAGTGGAACTGTATGTGTTTGGGAGCTCCAGGGAATCATCATTTTAAACACTGACATTTCATACTTTGGAGAATATGGAAGATAAAAAAGCAAAGATTTTCAAATAAAATGCAAATGAATTCCCCATCAACCCAATGTACCCAAATCTATACAGAAAGCCTGAAGGCACTTATTTCCCTGGGATCTCTGTTTGAGCTATTAATGAATAATTCTGAATGTTGTCAACAAAAATGCAAGTATCTTTTGTAAATGAAGAGCCATGGTCTATTCCTAGGATGATGTATTCAGAAATTCAGAAGCTGAAGTGACATTTGTTATACTGTAGATACTTTAACTGGATTCTTGCACTGAGACTAATTGGGTTAGTCACCTATTGAAAGCCTCCTAGCTCCTCAACTTTTTGATTTCCTTACCTGTCCCATAAAATCAGTGAAGAAGAGCATGTTGGAAAGGAAAGCTGTCCATCCCATCAAGTGACTCAGACATAAGCTGCGGTAGTGAGGTGGCATGTGTAAAAGAGCTTCTAGGAGAGACATAATGGTTATCTGCCTTTGAACCTGGAAAGGAAAAAAAAATAACAAGCTTTGTAAACATCTGGATAGTAGTTAGTAAACAAATCCGCTGGTCAAAGATTTGTTATCTTATTTTATGTCTGCTGATGTATCTAAAATAAATGCCTGGTTAAATCCTCTAACCTCCACAGCTTCAACCTTAAACTGTCTATCGTGGACCACACCCCATTCCTAAGAGGTCTGTAAAGGGAGTGGGCATAAGGGCACCAGCGTGCCTTCCATCCCTGTCCTACTGTCCCCATTTATTTCTACTCATTTCCCTTGTTCATGTCCATGTTTATACTTATACCTGTTAAGTTGTACATGTTTGACAAACTAAATAAAATAAAATAAAATAAAATGCCCCCACCGCTCAACCTATTGTGAGCCACACCAATCTCCATTGTTGTGTCAACGGAGCAACTACCCAAAGACACATCTTGGTCTCCTGAAACTTGAAAAGCTCCTAAACGTATCTTTTCATCCAGTCATTTCTTGCTCCAATGTTTTAATGAATATCCTTTAATTAATATTGCTTTTTAGTATTTTAATATATTGCTTTAAGTATTTTATTTCTTCTTTTACAGTACAATAAGGTACTTTGACACAGGAAGTAGTATATGAATATGTTAAGTGAATGAATGAATGAATAGAATAGAATAGAATAGAATAGAATAGCATAGAATAGCATAGAATAGCATAGAATAGCATAGAATAGCATAGAATAGCATAGAATAGCATAGAATAGAAAAGAATAACAGAGTTGGAAGGGA